TTAAAGTTTGAAATTTAACTACCATGCAAATTCAAATGAGAAATTCTGTTAAAAAACAAAATTCCAAAGAGAAAATTATTAAAAAGTCCACTCTAGGAATTGTATGAGGCATTAAGTCCAAGTGGATATTTTTTGTTGTTAGAGGGATTTACCCTTTTGTGAAATAGTTTGATAAGAAATGTTTTTGTTTATTTTGAATGATATTTTGTTTCTAATTTTATCATTTAATTTATTTGTTGACTTTTTTTGATGATCTATTCAAATTTATACATCGGTTCAAATTTATATCTATATGTTTGAATTATTTTTTTATCTGTTCAAATTATTTTGATTATCTGTTCAAATTTATATCTATCTGTATAATTTTTTCCCTTATCTATTCAAATATCTGTCCAAATTTTATTATTTGTTCAATTTTTTAAGTATCTATTTAATTTTCCTTTAACTATTTGTTCAAATATTTTTCAATATGTTCATTTTTTTTTGGGAGGGGGGGTTTTCAAATTTTTATTTTTTTCTATTATTTGTTCAAATTTTCTTATCTGTTAAAACAATAAAATATTTTCCCTATCTGTTGAACAGATCTGTTAAAATAAGAATTCATTTTTCCTACCGAAGAGTCTATTCTTATCCATTACAATTTTTAACAAATAGGTTTAAACAAATCCGTTAACCTATTTGTTAAAATTAGAATTCATTTTTCTTATCTGTTAAACAAGTCCACTCTTAAATAATTTTTCAACATATAGGTTTAAAGATTTGAAACAATTTTGCTCTTAAACAAATCTGTTAGGAATTCTTGTCCATTATAGATCTGTTTCTTCATCAACAACAATAATCAACCATCAACAACCAACAACCAACAACTACAAAATAGTAATAATAATAAGAGAGAGAAAGAGACAACCAAAAAGCTATATGTTTTTTTTTTTATAAAAAAAACCCTAAATATATATACATGGATACATATATATATATATAACAAATTCTATTTATTTCACCACACACACATGCATACATACATACATATATAAATACCTAATTACATACTTGATTGAGGATATTATCACCAAAACCTTATATCAACTTAGATCTAGGGTTTTACCTTGAATATATCATGATCTGGATGGATTTGATCCTCTCTATCGGTGATCGTCACGATTTGGACAACTTTGATCTGAAGAAGTCCAAATGAGGTCTAGTAACACACGCACGTGCTAGCGACGAAGAATGGCAGCGATGCAAGGCAGTAGAGGCGAACCTGGACGTGACTGAATTGTCGGCAAAACCGTGCATGAAGGTCTGATCTGGTGATGATGGCAGTAAATTCGTTGATTTGAAAGGGTAGTCGATTTGAGAGGGTATATCAACTTCGTAGATGGACTTCTCTGGCGACAACAGAGTTGAAAGAAGAAGTAGAGGCGGTGGCAATGGCGCTAGCGAAGATGGATGTGACGATGATGAAGAAGGGATGAGGATAGTAATGGAGAAGAGAGAGAGAGAGAGATGGATGGGTTGAGGATAGAGCTGCAAATGAACTGAGCTGTTCATGAACAGCGCGAGCTTAGCTTGTTTAAAGCTTGTTTGAACTCCAGCTCGATTTTTAGGTTCGTTTATTAATCGGGCAGAGCTCGAGTAGCCCTAAGCTCAGCTCGATAAGTCTCGTGAACATAAAAATAAATAAATAAATATTTATTTTTAATTATATATTAAATAAATTTTCAATAATCTATTTTATTTTTTATTTATGTTTGGTGTTTGTGTAAATTTACATATTTGATTGATGAAATTTATTATTAATATAAGTATTATTATATATTTTACTCGTAATTTTGTATTTTTAAAATCTTAATAAGTAAATTAATTTAAATTTAATTTTTTTAAGCTCGAGCTCGAACTCGGGTCGTTTATGTAATCGAGCAAGCTCGAGTTCAACAAATATTTGACGAGCCGAGCTCGAGCTTGATTTTTGAAGCTCGACTAGAGCTCGGCTCGAGCTCGAACTCGACTAATTCTTAATAAGTGAGCTTGAACATTCAAAAGCTTGGCTTGGCTCAATTCGTTTGCAATCCCAGTTGAGGAGAGAGAAGAGATAAGTAGGTAGTTTAGAGAGAGAGAGAGAGAGAGAGATTTTGAAGAGATACAGTTTTGGAGGGTAGTTTGGACATTTTGTAACATCATATCCTTATGGATAAAGTATTTGAGCGCCTGGACTTTTAGACAAAGAAAATCTAAAATTGAATTTATGAACCGAGTGCCCAACCCAAATTCAGACTTTGTTAGGGAATTTGGTTTTTCTTATTTTTTCTTATTTTTATTATTATAGTTAAAATAGTCATATATAAATAAAAAAATTAAAAAATCAAATTATACATATCAGGCATACATACTTTTTCATACAATTAAAAAATTATTCTTAAACATATTAACTTTATTTTTTATTTTTTTATTTTACTCAAAAAGTAAAAAGGTCAGGGATAAGGGCCAAGGGTTACACTCCTTTGAGCTTGTGTGATGATAAGGAGTGTAACAGTACAAACACTCCTTGAGAATACACTCCTTTGCCTCTGTTTGCTCTCTGTTGCAGCAAAAGGGAAGTTCTGGATAGGGGTGGCCGACTAGCCACCAGCAGTGGCCAATCGACCACCAATGGTGGCCAATGGCCACCATAGGTAGCCGACCGGCCATCAATGAAGAAAGTTGTTCAGTGTGCTCCTGAGGTGGAGCAAAGGTTTTCTAGAAGTAAGTTGGCACAGTTTTTAGTATCCAAATGTGCAAACAGAGGCTGCAATGGCAAGGTGGTGGCATTTTCAGGTGGAGAAGCCGAGCAGGCATGCATCTCTTGCCCCTCGAGGCCATTTACTTGCTTTACTTAATTAGTTAGTTGTACCTAATTCATTCATACAAGTGTTGTAATTATTTAGTTAATTATTTCATTTTGTAATTAATTAGCTTAATTCGGTTTGTAATAATTAGTTAACTAGAATAGTTAATTAGTTTCGAGTTTTGTAATAGTTTGCTTATTCATTCGGACCCTTCTTCGCGAGAGCGTAATGTTGTAATAAGTGTGCGGGCATGTGTGTATGTTTTCCAACCCCACGTCTTTCTCCCTTTTATGTAATCGCTTTTGATGGTCAGATTAGGGACATTTTCAATTAGAATACCTTATGCTCGCATGTTTGCATCCATTCATTTGTTTTGCATGCATCGAGGCTCGGCGCATCATTCAAATTGTATCGTCATTTCAATACTTCTTTGAATACGTGTTTCAAAGCATGCTATCAAAGTGTTGCAAATATCACGATTAGGTAGCCAAGTCTATTTAGTCGTATTATTACATGTGTTGCATTAGATACTTAACATAGTTAGGATCATGCATTGTTTTTTAACTTATATTTTTTCTTGGCTTGGAATACTCAGTAAGCTTTTACGCTTTAGCATACTTACATGAGTGTGATTGTCATATTGCCATGATTCGCATGCTTGCCACGTGGCTATGTGCTTAAATGCTAAACTGCATGAATGCCTGTGGATGAAGGCTTGTTGCACTACAAAAAAATTGACTTTTTGCGACGGTAAAATACCGTCGCTAATACTCCTAATGTCGTCGCTAAAACTTTTTGCGACGGCAAAATGACTTTTTGCGACGGCAAGAGGAGGGTCGCAACTGCAGGGGTTGCAAAAGAGTTTTTGCGACGGTAAGTGCCGTCGCTAATGTTTTGCGACGACATTTTTTGCCTTTTTGCGACGGCACCGTGCAGTCGCTAATAACGTTTGAAATTTCTTGACTTTTTTGCGACGGTCCTATTTTACCGTCGCTAAAAATGTTATTTGAGACGGCAAAAAATACCGTCGCCAATAGTCTTTTTTTTTAAAAAAAACACTACCTTTTGCGACGGTGTGGTGCCATCGCAAAAAATATAAAAAATATGAAATTTTCTATTTTTTGCGACAGTGTAATGCCGTCGCAAAAAATATTAAAAAATAATAAAATTTCTATTTTAAATAATAAAATTTCTATTTTTTGCGACAGTATAATGTCGTCGCAAAAAGTAAAACCTGTAACAAAATTAATAAAAATATTAAAATTTTCTATTTTTTCCGACGGTGGTGCCGTCTCTCTCTAAGAGCTGATTATTTACATTCTATTCAGAAAAACATCATAACAAAAAATAAAAATAAAAATTTAAATTGATCAAACCATCAAATTCAATATTTTACAAAGAACAATTAAACTGTACATGTTCATAAAAGCATATTTAAATTATAAAATTCACCCAAATTCTAAAAAAAATAAATTAATAAAATAAAATCTAAAATTCACCAATCAGCACATTGGATATTTAAATGCTCTTACAAAAATTAAAAAATTTCCAACAAGATCTCAATTTTGAGCCTATTTCAAAAATCAAGCTGCAAATTCCTTACTTCTAGAATCAGATCTTCCCCTCGGCAAAATTTATCCTTTTGACCTACAAATAAATAGATAACAGTTGCAAATTATGATCTTTTGGAGAAACCAACTATTTAAACACCAGTAATGAAGACAATCATAACCAGGAAAGAACACCGACCCATTATGTCAAGAAGTACAACTTGATTTCATCTGGTCTGGTTCAGTCTCAAACCAAAGCTGAGCTCACTACAGTTGTTTCTGTTCCTTTTATTATCATCTTATTTTGTTAATTACGATAAGAAAAAATTTGAAATTATAATTAATAAGTGCTTCATTGAATTAATTATCCAGCATTACCCTTGTCATTAGGACCAAGTTTTGCTCATTTTCATATGACAACTCAAAAATCAGCTATCCCCAACTATGATGGCATATGAGGAAAGGCGTGTGTGTGCACGAGTACCATCCACCATGTATGGAAATGTTGTTTCCATGCTTTGAACCCAGCAAGATCTACGAAACTTTTACCCATATATGAAAATATTGTTTCCGCGCTTTGAAACCATATAAAAAACATAAATAAAAATAAAGGGATTTGCGTTATATTTCTTACTAGCAATTTATTGACCATAGATTGATGCTTGGTTAAACTTGATCTCAGATTAAGCTACTGTTATGGAGGTGTAATTCATTTATGAATTGAGTTAGATTCTGTTTAGGTATTTATCAACCTTATTAGTCTAGGGGTCAAACATCCACCTTGGAATGTTACGACATTGCTCAAAATTTAAATGTGTAGTATATATTTAAACCTTAGTATTATATTATTAAATAGGCTACACCCAGGATTAATATAATTCAAATTTTGCATATTTTTCTACACATTTTTTGTAAGTTTGTAGTATTATTGTCTCGTGAATGCCAATAAGAAAGGTAATCTACCCGAATTGGATGTCTAGTTTGAGCACCTCATGCTCGCCACGTCAATATTTTTTAAAAGGTAATAGTTCAAATTTTATCTACCTATTTCCAAACCCAATTTTAGATCCAACAAAAAATTTTCAACCCAATATTTGATGGGTTAATAAGTCAACAAAACCTAAAACTTTGATTTACAAAAAAATATAACGTAGGTGGCATAATGTGTTGGGCTGAACTGTTATACCCGGAATGTGGACTAGAGAGAAATAAATTATATGGTGCAAGTCTTTGACAATTTGAAGTTAAAAAAATAGTAGTAACAAATCAATGAATTAATAGAGAGACTCACAGAATCTGGTGAGAATTCCAGAGGATAGAATAGGAGTGAAAGTCCTCAGTGGGATCAAACCAAAGCTGGTGCCTCATCTCTCGGTTTCCAGTTCCATTCTTGGAAACGTTGGTTTGAATGAGGTACGGCTGCCCTGTTCTGTTCCCCAAAAACTCAATATCCAACTCATCTCTCGTCGGCCCCGCCCCGTTCTCCGAGCACATTTTCGCTGGGGCTTGAACTCATCCATTGTACCATAGTTGCTGGGGCTTGAACTCATGCATTTTTACCATAGTTGCAGGTTGATTGACAGACCTTCGAAATCAGCCTTGGTTTTAAACCCAGACGAGCTGCACATATTAACGCATTCCCAGTGTTTCCACCTCCTTGAATCTGTGAAGCAAAAATGTCAGAATATAACTGCAGTCCCTTTTAAAGCTATAAATCAATCGTATCATTTTATCACAACCATAGTCTGTAAATAGTACTAGCACCAAGATTAGGTAGGTAGTTCATTAAGATAATTAATTCCCCTTCAAACCAGTAAATGATCAACTGTCTTCATAAATGAATAAGTCAACTGAATCAAAACTGACACTAACTTTCCATATAAAAGGAGAAAAATATTTAGGCTCTGTTTGTTGCATTACTCTCAAAGCATTAGCTATAAAAGTATCGTAGCTTACTTAATTCAATTTTTACACATAAACTGTGACTCTGAAGTCTTGAGGCTTTCCAGATCCATAGAAACAACTATGGTACAATGCATGAGTTCAAGTCCCAGCAATGTATTATATCTCAAAATAGTTCCAAAATAAAACTTTTAAGATCAGATCTGTTTAGTGCTATTCTTGTTGCTATGTTTAGTTGAATGTAGTTGTTGACTACATGACATGTAAACTGTTACTCCTCCTTTGAGGACTCCTCTCATGTTTGTCATTGGTTCAGTAAGGTATATCATTTATCTCTAGGTATAAGGACATAGGGTTGTCTTCAGAATTCAAATTGTCATAGCACATCTACTTTTCAATTTAGCAATAACAAATATAATAGTGTGTTATTTGCTCAGTTAGATTATTTATGTAAGGGGTATATGAAATTTTACTAGGTTATGTTTGGATGACAAGAAACGTGAATTCTATTACTACAAATCCCATTACTGGTAATAAAATTTTTGTCAGTTCAATTTAAGTGATTGATTTGGTTAGGAATTTACAAAAAATGACATATAATTTTATATATTTAGATATGAGTCCATTTACTAGTTTTATTCTTAAATATTAATGTGATTTTTTTGTTGGAGATGTGAACAAAGGATTCTCCCAACCGAGGATTCAACGCAACCAGCCATCTCGTTCATGTAAACATTTACCCGAAATCTAACTGATCAAATTTCATCGTGGAACATACCATTTTTCTTGAAAAATAAACACAAATTTTTTGTTGCTCAAATTGGGGATTACATTCTTGTCCTCAGATGTCACAATGTAATGAATGAGATTTAAAATAAAATTCTCATTCCGCCACTTCATTCCTGCCATCCAAACGACCTATAACCACATAACCCATTAAACACAGAACAGCAAATCTGGTGATTTGTGACAAGTACTAGATAAAAAGTTAAATAGATGGAGAAGATAAATAAAGTAAGAATGACGTGAATCTAAGAATCAGAAGTTAAGATAAAGAAACCAATGAAAGCAGAATTAACATTTTCATAACCATATAACTTAACAAGGCAGAATACAATATGCACATAAAGGCCATACTACAACTAGTGTAAGACTTATACATTAAAAGGTCAATTTTCAGTTATTGTGCTTTCATAAACAATAAAATTGACCCGAAATTTGCAACATAAGATGTAAAATGCACAATACAAAGGATGTAGCATTCAATATCATCTAAGAACCTTATCTGCCCAATTTGAATTGTCCATTTGACTCTACCCAACAAGTTTGTTGTATTCTGAGTGTATAAAACCAAATTAAATTGGGTACTTAAAGTGCCTATAAATAACAATACCCGAAGATAAATTTTTTAAGGATTTCCTAGTTGAAGTGGGGATTGGAAAAATTGGACATCATAATGGTAGAGAGGTTTGGCCAAAAACTAGGTTGAACATTCTACATGGTCAAGGAACAGAGACTGTGCCCAAAAATGGAGAGAGACAGTCAGGCTGCCCATATTTAGAAGAAATAGGCCATTCAGACAAAATTTCCACATAGTTCAAAATCACAGCCCCAAAATAATACATCCTTGATGGCCCCTGCAAAAGATTTAGAACTCCATAGGCATGTATCTATATGATGTGTTCTTTGCATGTGTCTGGCCCAGCAAAAGAATTGATCCCCTACATAAACATACCAGTCCTACATAGATAGAAGGTAAGTAAAAAACAAGACTAGTTGGCTTACAACAGTCTCCCCCATAATGTAATCTTGAGTGTGAATTTTTAAGTGGGCCAATAAAAACATTCACTCTAAATTTGGCTTTTAATTTTTTTATCTGGGCTACTATAAATTTTAGTGTTACAAATCATTTAGGTAAAAAATCAACTTGATTGAATATTGGTAGACAAATAGATGACTTATAATTTAAAATCACATTTGCCTTTAATTTTTATTAAAGAAAAATAAAATTCGATCTTGTGATTATTGATATACAATCCACTTGAATTCTCTATTCAACGAAACGATATGAACAATTCATGAGATCATAAAAATGTGTGTGGTGTGAACCTCAATGAAGTGGATAGCACCCCCTAATGTGCCTCAAAGGCATAACAAAACCCCAACTCCCAAAATATGACACATAATATGATTATTATAACATTATTGATTCAATATATCTCAATAAATTTACACATTATCAAAATTATAGAATAATAAATTTTAAATAGTATGTTATTAATCTTATTTGAGCAATTCAAAACTTATTACAAACCCTATTTTAAAGCACAAACTTTTTAGATGTAGTGCCCACAGTTTCAGACCAATCAGATTCTGTGCTTTGATTACACTCTCCCAAAGTGTGTGAACAAATTCATTTTCATGCATTTAAAGTACCAAACCATGTTCTTACTTCCCAACTACAAAGGACACCTAGGCAGGCAAAGAAACCCAACCCACCAACACAGGACTGCCCAAATACACGTTAATCATTCACATTGTTTAATAAAACACGAATGAAAATCGACATTGTTTATTTCAAAAAGATCTAAACACATCGTAATACATGCAATTCAACAATCTCAGCCGCCAAAATCGAGATCATATTGAAGAAGAAGAAGAGAAAGAAAAAAAAAAGCCCTAATTTATAGACATGAAATTGACAAATTCAGCAGATAGTACGCAGGGAAAAATCACAGAATGGCTAAATACAGGGATTAAACCACTAACCTGAATGGAAATACCAGAGATTTTCCCGAGAAAAAAAAGATTGAGAGAGAGAGTTTACCTGTGAGTAGATCGGCGGTGCGATGATCGGTGCGAATCGATGAGATGAACAACGAGAGAGTGACAGAGTGATCGGTGCAGAGATGAACGAGATCGGTGCAGAGATAAACGAGAGGGTGAGAGAGAGAGAGAGAGAGAGAGAGAGAGAGGCGACTGAGAGAGTGATGTGAGGGAGACGATTAGATTTAGGGTTTTTTTTGGTTCTAAACAGATTGGGGATTTTGGGGGCGCGGGAATGGAAAAAAATGAAAAAAAAAAAAGGGCGGGATTGGGAAAAAAATATATATTTAAATAATAATAATTTTCATCATAAATGAATATTTAAATAAC